GCCAGCCATCCAGCCTCGTAAGTGGAGTGAAATCACTAGACTGGCCCTCCATGGCTCATTCTTCTCTCGTGTATACATTTTATTGAAAATTTTATAGAAGGTATGAATACTACCCCAGGAGAAAGTCATATAGCCACAAAATGTTGCCTACAAAATTTTGATTTCACTCCAGGAGTGTATGGACCCCAGATGAGGAGTCTTATACTGGAACAGTGGTCTCGAAATTCTTTTAATAATAAACCCTTTCAAAAACAAAAACACATGTCCCAAACTGATGGATATTTATATACAACTTATACACATGTACTACTCTACGAATACATTAGTTGTATAAGGAAATACTCAAAAATTAAAGCCGTGAAGGAGATAAGGACAAACATTGAAAGGTCAAAATCCGCCCCCCCACCATGAGTGGCTTTACACAAGCACACACCCCCCTTTGAAGACTCTTCTCCCATGGTCAGCCTCCTCAGAGCACCAAATTCAGAGGCAAAAAGCTGAAAGTACTACAAGAGAAAAAAAAGAATGCTAACCCTCAGATAAAAATAATTCCCTACAGTCTGTGATTAAGAAACTGTACACAGGGCGGTGCCTGTGGCTCAGTGGGAGGGCGCCGGCCCCATATACCAAGGGTGATGGGTTCAAACTCAGCCCCAGCCAAACTGCAACAAAAAATTGCAGGCATTGTGGCGGGCACCTATAGTCCCAGCTACTCAGGAGGCTGAGGCAAGAGAATCACTTAAGCCCCAAGAGTTAGAAGTTGCTGTGAACTGTGATGCTTTGGCACTCTACTGAGGGCCACAAAGCAAAACTCTGTCTCAAAAAAAAAAAAGAAAAGAAAAAAGAAACTATACACGCTAGGAAAATTAAAGAACCCTCATAAAGAATTCTCAGAAAAGGACTGGGTTTCCAATGAAGGCTCACCCTGCCTTATCTGTGAAGCTTGCAGCCACAGGCATACTGTACCTTGCTGTTTTTTGTCACAGAAAGGAAGCTTAAGACCTAAGTAGAAAATAGCATCAGAAGATTGTATGGCATTTTAGAAGTAAAATCCCTATGCTCAAGTTCCCCCCTCCCCGCACCTTATGAGCTTGGGTAAGTCACTGAAGCTGTCTGGGTCTTAGAGCCCTTCCCTCTCAAAGGAGGATAAGTAGAAGGATATCTACATATTAAATGGCTTACATATAGATGAAAGTTCAAAGATGACATTAATGGAGGTGAAAGTGCTCTGTAAATTATAAAATGCTTTATAAATGAGAGGAAATAAAACCTTTTTATCCTCCCAAGAAAAAAAAAACAAAGGCAAATAATGGAAAAAGTAACCATTATTATGTAAAATTTGTATGTGACCTTATAAAGGAAGTCAGAGCACAAATTAAAATTGTAAATTCTACTGAGCTCTGTGGAGACATGCAGATTGACAGCCCACTGCCCCAAGTCCCAACCCCGTGGTGCTCCTAGCTAATTGTGCTGTGACTGACTGATGATCTCCACCCCACCTGTCTGTGGACTTCGCAGAGGCGAGTGAAGTATATTTTCTATGAGGGTCAGCTCTGCATCCCAAAAGTGAAGGCATTTAGGGAGAGGGAGCCATGGCAGCCGGTGGAGGGAAGGAGGCTGCGGCCTCAGGAGGCCTAGGGCAGCCTGCCCTGGATTCTGCGGCAAACCCTTCCAGCCCTCTCTGTCCCCTTAGACATGCTGACAGAACAGAGCAAACAGTGGTGATGAAGATAGTGTCACCGGATAAGCTCTAAAAGCTTTGGGGCCCTGCACCCCAGGCTCAAGTCCCTTGTGTCCAGGAAACTTAGGCCAGAACCGTCCTTCATGCATTAAGTCATTAAAGATGACTTACACGAACATGTTTAAAGCTTCAAAATTTATTGCTGTACATTTCCTCATAGCATTTACTATGGAAATACTAATAGTGCAAATATTTTATTTTGGGACTTCATAGCATTTGAGAGATCACAAAGCTTTTGATACCTTTTGCAATAATTTATGAAGATCTATAATATTCAACTTATTTTTAAAATTCAAACAAGTAATCTTATACGCAAAGAGATTATACAATGCTGTCTAGATCACCTCTCTAGAACAACAACAAACAAAACCCCCTGGAACCCACCCGGGGCATTCCCTTCCTTGATAATACATACAGCCTCTAACACTTTTCCAACTGCGTGACTTTTGTTCACTCACAACTTCATTTGACAAATATTGAATGACAAGCTATTACGTGCTAGGCACTGTGCTAGGCTCTGGGAGCATTAGGATGAAAAGACACAGTCTCTGCTTTCACGGTGCTTACAGTCTAATAGAAAACGGACATGCAAAACAATTCACAATACAATACGATAAAGTGCTTCCACGGAGGTATTTACAAAGTGCAGTGGGAACTTGGAAGGGGACAAAGATCATCTGCCTGGACGAATCAAAGACAGCTTCACAGAGGAGGTAGCCATCCAGCTGAGACTTTACCAGTGATTAGGAATTTGCCGCGGAGACAGGCAGGCGAAGCTGGTTTCAGGCAAAGGGACAATCAGGTACAAAGACAGTGGAGGCCTCAGGGCTGCTGCGAAGGAGCAAGTAATTCAGTTTTCTTGGGCCAAAGGTACCAGGAGGGGAGCGGCAGGATGAAGCTACAGCAACCATCGGGTCAGGAAGAGCCTTTGCCTATCCTTCTATTTACTCAAACACCGACTGAGCGTGTCCTCTGCCAGGCACCAGGCGAAGTGCTGGGGCTGTCACAGGGAAGGAGACAGACGCGTCCTGGCTCTCACGGAGCTTACATTCTAGCAGAGCGATAGACCAAAAGTCAACAAATAAATAAAATATAGATTTAGAAAGTATCTACAAAGGAAACAAACAGGATGCCGAGGAGAAAAAATAAAGTGTTACGGAGGTAAGGAGGAGTTAGGGCTGTCAGCAAATGTTTCTCGGAAGTGACGGGAAGGCGGCACCTGCAGGGACAGTGACCCAGTGTGCTCTCACAGGAGCACCCACTGCACAGAGGCACTGTGCTATCTCACTGGATCCTCACAACAGCTCTATGAGGTAGGTATTTATTCCTATTTCACTGAAAGGGACAGGCTTAAAGAGATTAAGGAACCTGACAAGTCACACAAATGGCAAACGCGGGATTCAGACACAGGTTCTCCTAACTTCAAAGTACTTGCTCTTCAAAATTACTCTACATGGTATGCAAAAATAAGTGAGGGATTCTGAATGGGGGAATTACACGGTCACATCTGCCTGTGTTGAGGGCCATTCTGATGACTATGTGTGGGGGGAATAAAGAGGGCAGGAGAGAGGGAAGGGCAGGGGAAGAACAGTGGGCAGGTGAACTACAGAGAAAGCCAGGAGCGTGCAGGGGAGAGGAAAGGTCTGCACAGAGGTCGTGGTTGCGGGGATGGATGAGAGATGCACTTGTAGAACAGTGGGGGATCATTCTGTCAGGACTGGTGGGGAGTCAGAAGCAAGGGAGCAAGTACAGATAGCTCTGGGATCACTCCTGTGCTTCCACCTTGGGCAACTGGGGAAGATGGTTTGCTTCTACCAGCATTAGGTAATGCAAGATGGTGGTAGGTTTGGGGGGATAAGACGAAGAATTCTGGACATGTCCTCTGGGTATATTGGGAACACCCTGGACTTACAGGCTGGTCCCCAGTGGGACACATGTAATGGCTTTCATACCTTATTCTCCACCTGAGCAAAGTATATAAGAAAAAAGTCAAAGTTTTGTGCACATGGTTTTTGCTTTTACGAAGCTGTTTATAAAAGTACATATAGCTTGGTTGGATGGCTCTGTAAAAAGAAGATAGGATCACGGAGGTGAAGTTACCCTATCCTGATAGCAAATGAAGAAGCAAGGACTCAGGAAAGGAGGAGAAAAGCCTTTGGACATCCATTCTAATAGTCATACTAGCTCTTAAAAATAAATTAATATGAACTCCCACCCACAACCCAGCTGGGACAGGCTGATGGGCCCAGAGCAGGCACCTTCTTCCAGTCACCCAACCAGAGTGTGTGAGTTTCCCTGCTCAACCAGCAGGGCCACACAGGGCCCTGGGCCCAAGAATCAAAGTTGAATGTAAATCTGGAATTCCAAAAAGCATTCATGTAGTTTAGCATAAAGGTCCAGAAAATACAGCAGCCCAGACTGAGCCAGGGCTGTGACTCTTCCCTCTTTTTTCTCTTCCTGGGAGTTGACAGGGAGTTGGAGGTAGTGGTAATAAAATATAGAAGTGATGCTGATGTGGAATTGATCAGGTCTAATTTTAAAAGAACTCAAGAGTTAAGAAGTAATTATATCCTGCCTATAGAATGACTTATTTTTGCAGTATTTCAGAATTTGCTTTAATTTGTTTATAACCACTCCCTTACGTATTTAACATTCACTTAATAATGTAATTCCAGTTTTAGTGATTAAATATCAAGAAATGTAAATGGTAATGAAAGTTATGTTCATGAGTTTCAACAGAAAAAATAAAATGTTAATACGTTGGAGACCAGGTACTGTTTAGGAAACTATTACAAGCAGGTTCATTAAGTACCTCTCCCTAAAAGATGCCTCTCACCGTGGCCAAGAGGCTGGCCTGAACCTGTTAGCTTCATAAGCTGGTGGACACCGGGATGTACCAGACAATCTCAAGAAAGAAAAAGGGAAAAAAAGGACTCCTGGTGATAACTGAAGGGTACTCATGTACCTACTCATACCCAAGGGGAGAAAAAGCTTTATTCTTATAGAACTATCAAAAGTATTAGTCACACAAGCAAGGGGGGAAAAAAGTACACATGCTAGATGACCACTTAGAAATTCTGGTCAAAGCACAATCCTCACCATGTCCAGAGGCAACAGTTCATACTTGCTAATGTAGGAACTACTTTCCACCATCTCCATTTCCAACCTGAGGCCCAGGGATCAAAGTGGAGTGTCTATCAGGAATGCTAACGAAGGGCTCTTCATTGTGTGTGTTCTTTAACAGAAAGAATTCCAATCAGTCTGTGAATATAATCATTTATTTCTCTTTACAGTGATGATGGAAGAATGTACAGGTGTCCTCTTTCAATAAAGTATAAAAATCTCTTTATATACAGTGAAGTCACAATAATCTTTAATTGGGAAATTTATTTGGTACTCCTGATCTGTTCATAGTAAAATGGTGGGGGAAACAAATATCTCCTGTACGTGCTACATTTCCAGTAGATTGCACCTGGCATCAAAAGCTTGGCTTTAACTTAAGGGTCCAGCTTGGTATTACAAAAGACTAATTTTAAGTCCTAGGACTCAAAATAAACATCATTTTTTGAATAATAGATATATACATCAAAAATACATCTAAAAAGGCATTGGTTAGTGCTGTTAAAAAGCTCTATGTGCTCGGGTACATTTTTATTTTCTTACAGGCAAAACCCAGTGGAAACGTTTTTTTGTTCAATTTGTAGGAATTTTCTCTTGGGGAAAGTCGTCGAAAGTTACCTACAAGGAAAAAAAGAAAAACTTTAGTAACTGAATCATTGCTTAGCAAAGCCCCCAACAGTAATTAGCGGCTGAAATTCACTTAGAACCGTGTTTTTATAGCCTTGATTAGCATTTAGTTACAGCACTTCATGAATCAAAAGGGCTCAACATTCTCCCCTCATTGTTGGGAGGGTTTTAGTTTGATAATAGCAAATACCCATTTCATTTTCCAAAGAAACCATATATATCCTTTTACATGTGCATACAAATATTTTCTATCTATAATTAACTGAATCAGCATTAAAAATGAATTCAAAGGGTATACAAATAAAAAAAAACACAACAGTAGATACAGCCAAATCCAATCACATTTTGAGACAATTTAGGAAAATTTCTACTCATGGTAATTTATTTTACTTCAGAGCATTTATAAATAATAGATGTCACTGAGCCTTCTGGTGGCTAATCCGGGTGAAGGATACTGTGTAATTGCAAACTAGACTGGTCACGTATTTGATCTAATACCTCATTTGTAGCTAACTTTTTTTTTTTTTTGGCCGGGGCTGGGTTTGAACCACCACCTCTGGAATATAGGGCCAGCGCCTTATTCCTTTGAACCACAGGCGCTGCCCCACCATTTTTTTTTCTTAGACAGAGCCTCACTCTGTCACCCTGAGTAGAGTGCTATGGTGTCATAGCTCACAGCAACCTCAAATTCATGAGCTGAAGAGTTCCTCTTGAGTAAGGGGCACTACAGGTACCCATCACAAAGCCTGGCTAGTTTCTTTTTTTTTTTTTTTTTTCTATTTTAGTAGAGATGGGGTCTTACTCTTGCTCAGCCTGGCCTCCAACTCCTGAGTGCAAGGGATCCACCTACCTTTTGGCCACCCAGAGTGCTAGGATTACAGGCATGAGCCACCTCACCTGGCTTATAGCTACCTATTTTAACACCTTCATTTTTGCAGTTGTCTTTTGCTCTCAATCATTCCTAAAATGTCCCTCTGAGAACCTGGGTACTTCTCTATAATGGTAAAATCTAAGTAATACAGTAAATTTCAACCTGTTATTTAACTAAAAAACTAAATAAATATCTACTTTTCTAGTAAAAAAGATCAGAAAGAGCTGCGGCATGATGAGGATGACAAACCCTAAGGAAACGTGGTTGCAACTCTTATTAACCACATGAACTTGACCATGTCTGCCCTTTGCCAAGCTGAATCCTACCTATTTGGAGGGTTATTATGAACATCTAATTAAGTCATGAGGCCATGCTCTGCTTTATTAAACATTTCAGGTATACATGAGGCTAAGTAAGTTAGGTGAATGGAATTTTCCTAAGTAAGAAGTACTTGTAAATCTTCCCCCAATCTATAGATCTAATGGCCTGGTCTATATAATGCTATTCTCGAGTTTAGAATATGACCTACATAATTTAAAGCTCTCCCTACCTAACATGTGAGAATAACTGCTGCTTTTAAACAACTGATTAAAACTCTAATCATTAAAACTCTAACATTAATTATTTTGTGGTCACCGCTATCCACATTTGTGCAAGGCAGTGAACAGATACCAGCTTCTGTACACACTGCGTGTCCAGTGCCTACAACACATGCTTGCTCACGTGAATCAGGGTGCTGCCTCGAAGAGTAACATGCAAAGGAAGTGAGTGTCTAGGAAGCCTCAAGTATGTGACCTTCAATTATCCAAAAGTGATAGTACATGCTCCAGAGAGCTGACATCTTAGTCAAAAGAAGCACACTCCAGACTTCTCTCTAAGACTTCACACAAAGTATACTCATCAAAGCCCATAAAACACATCCTTGCCAGCTTGGAAAATAAAATTCAGTGTCAACACAGCATCCTCCTGCCCTTAGTGAGAAAATGAAAGAGTTAAGATAGTACTGAACTGAACGGGATTCAAATGGCTCTCTATGGTCAGGGAACTGTGTGGCCGAACACCCCTGGTATGGTGAGCATGTCAATGTCAAACATTATATTAGTATCTACGACTTGATTTTGTTATCCCTGTGGAATGAGCCTTCCTGAATTAAGACAAAGACACTCATGGCAGGAGACTATTATGCTAAAACTTAAATTCACCCTTCCTACACTTCCTACCCTCAGCCTGTTCTTCTCCCAAGCAGAACTCCCACCCACCCAGCTCAAGTGATAGCTCAGCCGAGAAACTTGAGTGTCCCCATCACTCTCTCACCTTCCCTGCCAATTAATCACCTGGTCAAGTTGATTCTATCTCCAAACATATCTCAGACTACTCTTTGTCTCTTTGAGTCCCCACTCATCATCATGGCACCACCCTTTTAAAGTCACCATTATCTCTCTGGACCACCAGAGCACCCCAACTGGTCTCCATACCTCCAAGCCTTCCCAGCTCCAATCCTTTTTTCATGATGCAGCCATAGGGCTATTGTAAACAAGCAAATCTGATTAGGCTGCTGACCTGCAGTGAATTCCCACTGGTTTGAAGGTCAGAGTCCTCAAAAACCCACAGGTGCTACATGATGGCACCCTGTCCCACCTGTTCCCCACCTTTCTGCAGGGTCCCTACATTCCAACCACACAGATCTTAGTGCTTTACAGAAACCAAGTTTCAGTTTGGCACCTGTGGCTCAAGCAGCTAAGGCACCAGCCACATACACCTGAGCTGGTGGGTTCTAAGCCCCAGCCCGCCAAACAAACAATGAGGGCTGCAACCAAAAAAAAAAAAAATAGCCAGGTGTCAAGGAGGGTGCCTGTGGTCCCAACTACTTGGGAGGTGGAGACAAGACAATCACTTGAGCCCAGGAGTTGGAGGTTGCTGTGAGCTGTGATGCCACAGCACTCTGGTACTCTACCCAAGGCGACAGCTTGAGGCCCTGTCTCAAGAAAAAAAAAAAAGAAGAAACCAAATTTGTCCTTGCTGTTCCTTCTAATGGGAACACTCTGGCCCCAGATGGCCCCTGCTCACTCCTATGCATCTTTTCAGGCTCAGCACAAATGTGACTTTCTCAGAGAGCCTTTGTGGACTCTTGACATCACATTATCTCCCCCATCCCTCCTCTCTGTTTTTTCTTCAAAGGAAAAAAATACATACTCGATCACAGGTGACGAAAGAAAGCGAGGGCTGCCAAAACAAAGCGGGATAGAAGTTGGGAAGCAGGATGCCCACTGGCCTTGGAGATTTTAGTGTAATTATCATCCATGGGAACAGAGCCTGAACCTCGTTTAGGATAAGATCAAAATTTGTATTTCTAAGGTAAAATATTTATTATATTTTTCAGTGTTCCTTTTTCTCTGCATCAAATCCATGCTATAGAGATCCCAGGAAGAGAAAGAGATTTGCCTACTTTGCTGCCATAATTTTAGAGAGGGTACAACACGCTTCAAAGGCCAGTGTGTCAGGACGGAGCTGACAGCCACCGTCCCTTCATGGCCATTCGTCCCTACCGGACCGAGTCTTTCTCTTCTTTTGCTTTTCTCTTATGACCCCTGGGAGGTTTTCCGCCTGCTTCTAATAAAGGAGTATAGTCCCCTACCAGTGGCTGCAGGGTGTCAGTGTCCTCACAGAATGAGAACTAATAACTTATGTCTCTGACCCTTAGATGCAGACGGGGCCGACCAACAGCGCCCACATAACCTCCGCAGCCGGGAAGCTTCTTTATTCACTGCTGACAAGGCTACAAAGGGAAACTAACAGGAGCATGAAGGCTCCGGCGTGGCCAGCCTCTGGCTCTGGTGCGGCTCACCTGATCATATTCTTAGGCTTCATCTCCACTGTCCATCTCTATGTCCATCTCTTCTGTGTCCGCAGCCCGTGACAGGATGTCGGCCATCAGAGCTTCTTCCAGCTTCTTCCGCACTTGCTGGACTCGCTCTTCCTGTTTCCTTTTGAAAATCAGAATAAAAGGACATCAAAAATTTGTTAAGTCATGGAAACACGAAGCTCATCCTCACTCCAAAATTAATAGATTGATTCCTAAGAAAAATATATTCTGCAAAAGTTGCCTCTACACAGCAACCAAATCACACTAAGTCTTGTCAAAACCAGGGATGTTCACTTAAGGAGTGATCCCTCACCTCGCAGAGAGTTCTAGAAGGAATAGATTTCTGTGACCTTTCCCTCAACTTCAAAAACTTCAAGTGTGTGAACACTTGGGCTTATTCTTATAATAAGGACAATTAGAAATAACACAAAACATGAAGAAAAAGCTACTTGTTCTGTGAAGCACTGAGAGGATGGAGGAGGCAGAGACACACAGCCGGGATTTGATGTGCAGCCTCTGGCTAGGTTAGCAGAGGGGTCTCGCCTGTGGTCCCAGGTCTGCAGGGAACAGGTCAGGGAAGGAGCCACAGCCACATGACTCTGTACACAAAGGGCAGCAACAGAGAGCAGCTGTTCACCTGAGAGAGGGAACAGCTGAAGGGCATGCCGTGAGTTCCCTGGGCCTGGTGATCGCAGAGGGACCTCAAAAGTGAGCGTTAGCAACTCCAAGTCAGAAGAGAGGCTCTGAACCATTCTATGGAGAAGGAAGCTATTAGTATACACTTTCTCTTTAAAAAGCAGGAAAAAAATGAGAGTCATTTCCTGGGAGGACAAAAGAAACGTTCCTAAAATATATCTAGCAAGCAAAGCACAGTAAAGAAAAATTCACATCCAGAATGAAGCAGAGAGGCAAGAGAGGAAGGAAGACAAGAGAGAAGACTGGTAAGTAAAGGTCGCAGTGAAAACAGGCTGAAGGGAGGGAGGCAGAGGGGGGCCGGTCAGCCCAGAATGGCAGACAGGTCCCTCATCTCCTGAGGCCAGAGCAGGGTGGTCAGGATGGCTGCAGAGCAGGAGACGGAGCAGCCCAGAGACAAGAGATGCAGAAGGGACCACGGAGGGCGCTACTGGGGAAAGAAGTGATTTATTTTCTACTGATAACTGAGGAAGGTGGATTGCGGCACTGCCCCAACCAGGGACAGCAGAAAGGTAGAGGAGCGAAAGGATGGACGGTCCATTAAGGGTCGCTGAGTGCCCATTCCCTGCTGGGGCTCAGCCACCTGCAGGGCCACACTCTTTCTAGCCCAGACTAGGCTGCTGTTAACCAATCGAGACTCTGTGCAAGGTAATGAAGGCAAAATAGAAATACTGTTTAGCCATAAAACTTTAGGTCTCTTTGTTAAATGCTAAAAACAGCAAAAAGCATTAAAACGTATGAACTTCTATGTTTTAAATAATTTTTTAAAAGAGGGAGGCTGTCACTGAGTCATTCTGAGCTCTACAGCCTCTCTCATATTAAAAGAAACTGGGGCTCAGCAGACGGTCTTGTAAGAGGAAGGTCAAAAAGAGCACATTTGTGTATTTCGTTTGTAGTTGGTCTCAGCTCCGTCTCAGTGACGCCTAGTGGATGACCAATGGCAAATCAGCAGGACAGGGTCTCTCACTCCTGACAGCGGGTCACAGGACTCTGCACAGCTGCCCCAGAGTAATCCCACCAGGAAGACGGGGACAGTGGAGCAAGCAATGATGTTGGCTGGAGAAGTGTATCTCACCAACATCTGCCATTGATTTTCTTCTCACTTGAGCATTACTCTTCACGTTTATGAAAATCAGTATGAAAGCATTTTCCTATTGTGGTATGCAGAATTCTGAGAGAGTCCCCACGTAATAGAATATATACTTATTTTATATTCCCTTCCCTTAAGGGTGGGTAGAACTTGTGACTATGATGAGATACCACACCATGATCAGCTTACTAATCAATTGACCCTGAGTTAATCAGAAGAGAGATGACTGGAATGGGCCTAATAAGACCCACTCATGGGGCAGGACCCTTCCTGGAAGAAGCATGGGAACACCTATGGAGGGAGCCATGTGGCAAGGAACTGTAGGCAGCCTCTGGGAGCTGACAGCCACCCGGCCCCAGCCAGCAGGAGAACAGAGGCCTCAGCCCTACTACCACGAGGAATGACTTCTGCAGCAACCAGTTAGCTTGAAAGAGAAGCCAAGATCCACACAGGAATGCAGTCAAGACAATACCTGGAGTTCAGCCTTGTAAGACCCAGAGAACCCAGTCACACCTGGGTGGCTCAGACTCCTGACCCACCAACTGTGAGTTAGTAAATGAGTGTTGGTTTAAGCTGCAAGGGTTGTGAGAATTTGTTATGAAGTGTTAGAAAACAAATATACCCGTTGATGAAAATACGATTAAATGTCCTGAAAAGATACATACTTGAAAGAGATCTTGTTGAGATCTTCAGTTGGTGGTTTAATATAAACAGAATATCAGCCACACAGTTAGAAGAGTAACAATTCCATCTGCAATGATTTATTTTAAACCTGCACTAATTCTACAAGAAATGTTTGCTTAAAAATGTGTTATGACAATTAAGTTAAATGAGCAATTTTTTAGACAAATTTACCTTAAAAGGAAATCATCCAGAATTGGTTTCAAGATAGTTTCCTTTATTATCAAAGGATCTGGCGTTGACGCCATGGACACTCCCATGGCATAACTCACAGCACTTCCATCAACACCCATAATGCCCCATAATCAGAATGTCTGCTGATGACCTCATTATTCACTCTAAGGTGGAAAAGAACTTGTATCTTCCAAATAATTATCTTCCTCAAAGGTAAGAACAATCCAAAGAGGAAGTTGAAGCTTTTCCTTGATTTTACATTGCATTTTGTTTTTCTTAAAAAGTAACGTTGATCCTAAATTCCATGCAATTTAGACATGTGACTTCAACTTCAAACCAGTGTATGTCCTTCCAAAAGAAATTTAAAAAACCAAAAAGGCATTCAAGTTATAAACCTAACTAGACTCATGCATTTAAAAACATTTTCGTGTCAACTTATGAATTTAGAAAAAATAATATACAAATATAAAACATATTTTAAAATTATGTATGATTCACAAGTGCCATCTGCTGGTTTTATCTAGGAATAAATTCTCTAGGAAAACTTGGACTTGTAGTCAGAGGATATACACACTGTCAAATTTTTCAAGAAAATACAATATGCTACAGTAGCACTGTGAGGCGGTGATGCTGAGGTCACAGATCCCGCAGAAGCCCATCTTTGTGGTCCTTCTAACAGGAAAGCTTTGCTCCTCCCAAGCACTGGTTTGCTTGTACTTTCTGGGCACTATCAACCTTACATGGATGTTCGCCTCCCACCATTTGCTACCAAAAACCCAACCTGTGGCCCAGCCTTAAAGACTAAAAGGTGTCAACAGGTGTAGTTTGAGTCCTTTCTCACTCCTGGCTCTGTTTCCTTGTTTTACCCTGGGCTTCATCACTCTCATTGGTTCTCATCTGGTTCTATGGGGCGTGTGTGTGTGTGTCTTTGAAGCCAATTTATATCTTTACTTGAAACAAGGTGAAGCAGAGATAGATAAATCTCTAAATTGAGCTTAAGTGAGGTAAGCAATCAAAATAACCAAATTGAACTGTAAAAATACAAGGGAGGTAAAGCAGCATGGCTGTCTTCTGCTCTAAAGAGATATCTTCCAAACCAAGGCAGAAGAAAGCATAAAAGGTACAACTGATGAAAGGGGTCCTTTAGAGCAGAAAGTCAGAAACCCAAACTGCAAAGACACTGTGAAATTGATGAGTTGAGAGCAGACTGCTGTGGCGGCTGTCCTCGGGGTGTGGCCATAATGGGATCCCTGATACACAGCATTTATACCTCTTTCAAGTACGTATTTGTTATAATATAAAGGTCTTTTATCACCTTCCAACAGTTTCTGAAAAGCTCTGCAAACAAAAATATTTATAACTTTCTGGTTGATTTCATGACTTATCTGCTGCGCCACTGAAACTAACACACAGCATAAATTTTACCCGAATGTAAAAAACACTTTTCTGGTTAAACTGACTTACCTGATGTCTTCATCTGTGACAATGAAAGCTTTGCAGAGGGGTTGAGAGGTGTTAAGCCAAACAGCGGGGTTCTTTTCCACAGCAGCGGAGACTTGCCCTGTGATTGGTGCAGAGCTTGTGTGCAAAGCACTGGCAACAGCAGATAAAAGGGTCTCATCGTTGCTACCTGGACCAACTCCTGCAATTAGAAACAAGAACTACTTCAAGGAAACTTCTCGACGTGCTGAGCAAACCTCATTCTACATCCATTCGGGATTACACATTTAAAACTGACACAAGCTGAAGCAGTAAGGATACTATCATACCAACTTAATAGATAGTATACGCCAAAGAATTCACATGAAAGAAATGGTAACAAAAATAGCTAAGCATGTTATTAACACAACTTTAAAATACATTTCCCTAGATAGTGAACTTTTTAAAAGCTGTCTATATTTCTTCAAGCAAGGTCAATTATTTTAATGATCTAAGACCCTTGCAAAGCCACTGTACTCAGGTATCCCTATTAAAGTATCCTTAGCACCCTGGCGTAGTTTCTCCTTGTAGCTTTTAGTATTAATTTCCAGCAGTATCTCAACATTTATCTCTTTTGTTTCAAGACTTCAAAGGAAAGTTGATGCAAGCATACTGTACCTGCAGCTCCAACAGCTTTGCTCAGATTTCTAACGAAAAAATCTCAATTCAGAGAACTAATAACTACACATACCTTGATGATTAGAGGAGAATGGCACCCTCATGGCATTACTTAAAGTCCTAAACTTCTTTAACTAGTTAAAGCAATAATTTCTAAGAACATAAAGGGATGAGACAATTGTCTAACCACTATGAATTATGAGGCTTTTTGAGCAACCTGCAATATATCAAGATTTAGAAGCTGAAGTTTGAACGCTTGAAAAATAATGCTTCTCTAGAATTTAGAGTTGCCACATGAAAAGACAGGTGTACCAGCAACTGGGTGGTCTCCGCCCCAGATCCCCCCTGCTGCTGTGGCTGGACCACAGTGCCTCTGTTCCCATCGCTACTCACAGCAGCAGGGTGTGAGGGAGGGGCAGGAGGAGAGCTGGGAGTTGTTCCTTGGGTAAGAGGATGAGAAAGAGCAGTGCTAGGGCCAGATGCTGCTGTCAGCAGGAAGCTTGGGGAAAGCTGTCGCTCATCTCAGTTCAGTGCTAGCTAATAAAAGCAGCTCATGGATGAATTCACACGATGAACCTGACCTACAGCCAAAATGTTTACACAGGAAAACAGCAAGGTAATATACTACACTGCGGCATCCCTGCAACATACAAGTTTTTCATATACATTTGCCTGGGTTTACTAAAAACACAAGAGGGAGGCCATCCTGCGAGGTAGACAATCCCCAAAGCAAAGGCCTAGTGCTGGTCATTGCTGGCTCGCCAGCAGCTAACACGGCGCCTGACACACAGCAGGTACATCTGCTCAACTGAACTTGGATAATACCTTGAAGACCTTTAGGTAGTTCCATGGTTTTTATAATTTGTTCTGTTACATCTGATGCACTAAGTCCTTGTAGCCTCTTCTCCCAGAAAAGCTGTAAGGCAAAATATCACTGTTAATAGATACACTCTTGAAACAAGAAAGTAGCGCATCGATGCTGTTGGATAATGAAATTTAAATCATTTCAGTAGTTTCCTATAATTTCCTCATTTTTTTTCCTTATGAAAAGCTAAATGATACTCCAAACATGAATTATTCCAACACATCAAACTTCTCTCGGTTGACATTACTCAAAAAAAAGTCTTATGCAACCTATTCACTTGTTACAGCACTGGAGATGGTTACGTGCTAGACATGGTTTTTTATAAGGCATCTTCTGAAGAATATCATTTGAATTTCTGAGCGATTCATCTGGCATGAAATTTTAATGTTACAATTTATCAGGGAAAAGAAAACAAATTATGGTACGTATTGCCCCCTTCATTCAATACCATTAGGGACGTAGCTATTCCACAGATGGGATTTGTCCAAGACACTGAAGTTGAGCCCTTTAGCACACTTTAAAGAGGAAAAAGACCATGTTTTATGGAAACTCTTCTAAAATGTCTTAGATATGCCCTTATGCTCTTGATTTTTTACACTGCTATCACACTCATGAGTGACTTTCACCCTGCCATACAGGACCCACGTCCCTGTCCACTCAGTGGCCTCAGGTTGTCATTACAGGCTCCGGTGAGCACACTGAGCCTCCTCTCCCCTGAGGGTGACTTAGACACATGACTGCTTATTCAAACACTAAGTGGTCCAGGGCAGCTGAGCTTCTGTATTTTCCATCCTCCAGACACCTGACTCTCCTCATCAGCCATTTCACCGTCCACCGTGTTTGCCGAGCTCCTGCTGGGTGCTGTGCTCACCCTGCAACTGGGGGAGAGACACTGTCCCTGTTCTCAAATCTCATGTCTTCTCTAGTCTGCTTCATTTTACTGCAGCCAGAAACACAGATAAAGGAATTATACAGGACTTTGTATCTGTCTTTAATCCTGGTTTTCTGGGGACTGTCCCACAGGAGGATCCGGGGGACACATGAAGCCATGTGGGGGAAAACCCTGCTCTGACACCTTTAGATGTAGGACCTGGGACGAGCTCTAGAACCTCTTCTGAAAATTCAGTTTCCTCTTCTGTAAATGAGCCAGCAATGGCTATCACACAAGATTAGCATGGGGATTAATAAGGCAATATAATGTACACATTATACCGTGGTCACAAGGTTACTGCACAGACTTTAGGCCACTCTGAGGGCTGTAAGGGCTTTTATTCTGATTTCTGGATACATGTAAAGTATCAGATAATTGCCCTCCAGACAAAGAGAAGATACAATAGTATCATTTTAATTCTGATAGAATAGTAATATGTTAGATTTATAATAACCTCGACCCCTTGCACTGGAGTCACCTGCAACCGGATGCTCTACTCCCCTCTGAATACCTCTGGTCACATCTCCCTTCCATCTCCCTACAAAGCACATTATTAGTAGAATATGAGGCCAACAACAAGAGGATGTGAATACATTAATCACCATAGATGAAAAGTCGTTAGATGAAAGTAATAACTGATGAAGGAGATCAGTGTCCCAAGAAACTCTGCCTGTTTTCTACCTACTCTATGGTAGAATAATATCATCTGTGTTTTGAATGTCAGAGCTATAGAAAAAAATAAAGAATACCAAATCCAGATAAATTTCTAATGAAAAATCATGCAGGGAAATCAGTATGAGATGAGCAAGTGCTTTTATAATTAAATTGTATATAAATGTATACATAATTAATTATATTGAATTACAAATGTACTTACTCACCTCATACTTACTGATCTGTAGAAAGAAACCAAACACAACCAAAAAATAAAAGGACAGCAATTATGAACATATACATTCACTAATGTTTTACATCAAAAAATTCCAAGTCCAGATATTTAAAGGATAATTCTTTTAGATTTGGTCATTTTTAACTCTGTTCTTTTTGTCACCTTGTAGGACATTAGGAAATTGTACATAAGCTTAGAAAGCCAATGGCCTGAGCAATACTCCATGCAGACAACCAGATGACTGAGCAAGCAGCATGGGCTGGGAGTAAACATCAGCTAAACCTAAGGCCCCAGAGACAGCAGTGCCCCTTTGGAGCTCATCTCCAGTCCTACACTCTCCTTCTCAGGCATCTGCACGGAGCAAGTGCGTCTGGACATCACTCAGGCTCAGGTGCAAGGACTTTCTCTATCCTAAGTGTCCCAGAGGACAAACAGATGGTGCTCGACAGCAGCTGCTTCTTTAGCAAGATCAATGATCAAACCTGTTTATTGAAAGTAAAATTAACCCAGAACACCAGTGTAGCACTTTCTTTTTTTTTTTTTTTTTTGCCGGGGCCAGGTTTGAACCCGCCACCTTTGGTATATGGGGCTGGAGCCCTACTCCTTTGAGCCACAGGTGCCTCCCAGCACTTTCTTTTCTTAATTGCTGTGGATTTAACTTGGGCTTTGGAGGATTTGTTCAACTTGCCTTACGAGGAATATCCAGAGAGAGGCAGAGAGAGATGTAAAGATCACACCCAACTCCTCACAACCACGCACAAACATAACCCCCTGGGAACTGAGGCTGACCATGCTTATTCTTACTGGCTCTCATCACCCTGAGATTATTAACATGAGGTTTATACTATTGGGGGGAAATCAAAAGAGAAGGGCTCATTAGCTTACTGTTTGGTGGAAAACAAGCAAAACTCTACACAGCAGACTGCAAGAACTGTAATAGTGAAGAGACAAAACTAACCCCAACTGGGGGAAAATCAGGGAGGGCTTCTAGGAAGAGGCACCTGTTGAATGAGGTGTAAGGATCCTACAGGCACACAGAGGAGGGAAAGCTACTCCAACTCGAGGAAGTACCAGAAGCAAAGAGGAGGAGGTGACTGAGAGTGCAGACCCTGCAGAGAACAACCGGATGGCTTTAAATGCATACTCCATGGCGTCATCCCCAGGGGTTCTATTTGACAGATCTGGGGTTAGGAGCTAATTTTATTCTTTTACAAGTACTTTAGGTGATTCTTATGCAGATTCAAGGATCTCAGTATGAGAAAGATGGCTTTGGCTTGTGTTGAAAGAATAGTACATGTACATGTAGGGGGATCACCGAGATCTCCAAATTTTATTCCTAATTATGCCAGAAGATAAAAGATACATTACTCTATCTTCTTCCTCACAGAGGACAAGAAGATAACGTATCTCCCTTTTATTTCACTGCAAGAAGACATATTAAAGTTTATTTTATTAAAAGTGTACCTAATTGTTTAGATCTAAATAGAAAAAAGGCTCACCCGGTGGAACAGGGGGAGGAAGAGGAGGACGCAGAAGAGGGTGGCAAATGCCACTTAGCCATCCAGCTCTTCCCACAGACCTGGCACTGTGCTGAGTGCTGCCTGATGTGTAAGAATTTAGTTAATCTTCCCTACAGCATTTTGGAGACGATATTATTACTCTCATGTACAGATAAGGAAACTGGAGCATGGAAAGATTAACTTACCAAAGGTTGCTCAACTAACCAATGGTGCAGCTGGAATTAAAACTTGGGTCATTGTGATTAAACAGCCCTGCTCTTAACAGCAAAAGCTGTGAAAAAGAGTATTTAAATGGTTGGCTTGGTGTTAGATCTTACAGTACAGGCCTCAGAACTTTCTATTCATGATGTCAAAAGCTGATGATAGACCAATAAATGCTAAGAAAACTATCAAATTACTATTAATCCATCTAACTACTATACAGTAAATACTGAGGGAATTGTCGATTGTAGGCCATCTATGTCTGATGCCTGCCTCCTCCTATGCAGAAGTGAGAAGGCCGGGCTTACTTTTGAGACTAAGACTGGCATGACGTTTAAGCTGATAAAAAATTGTAATTTGGAGTAGCTTACATGATAAAAACCAAAGAACTGATGTAACATATATTGTCTGAAAATTAGCTTTTTTGGACCGCAGTTACAAATATCAACCATATAGAACACCCAATTTTTATTTGGTAAATAAAAATGAAAAACTGAGACCTCTCCTCCAAGCAACACTTCAAATAAGTGACACTAAAAATGACATGAAGGCAAGTATTTCAAAATCACAAGGGTGGGAGGAACTTAGTAAGCGCGTATAACTGAAGGCTTTGCATTTTTCCTGTAAGAATACCTTTTAGATTGATTATAATAATAGCTACTTCTCATGACCACATTGAAAAGCATCTACGTCAAACATACCAACCAGCATTACTTTCGTCCACCATTACATTCAATTTGAACAGCACTGACGTGTCTGTAAAGCAGTAGAAGAAAGTCGCTAAAGAAACTGACCCTTCAAGTGACCTTCCTGACCCCCACATGACATTCAACTCCCAGGACAAGATTATCTGATTCCTGAGTAGCAAAGCCAAGGGGCCTGGGCTTTCAAACCTGGCTGACCCGTGTCCAGCCCTTGCTTTGGCACTAGCTTTGTGAATTTAGATACCAACTGAGCCTCTCTAAATAGCAGTTTCCTCAAAGAGTTATGGAAACTAAATGAACACTGAATAGATACCCAGTGAATACGCACCCCACACAGCAACTGTCCTTTTACGACTGGGTGGCACCTCCGGCTTACAGTACACTGTTGATCACACAGTACTACTTAATACGCAGTTGGTCGTTATATTAAAATTAGTAAGTACAAACAAAACAAAAACAATCAACTCTGAAAGGTAAGGATTAGCCAAGGAGCAGTCCGCGCCGCTGCAGGTGAACTGCCCTTCCCTCGCGGATGTCAGCTGGGGCCTCTCCCTCCTCCAATCATCTGTGACTCTTCCCCTTCCCCCTTATCCAGTCAAAGCCAGATCACCTGGGCACTGGGAAGCAATACTAGCTGCATAAGTTTCGGGGCCCAGAACAAAACCAAAACGTGAGGTTCAAAAAATATTAAGAATTTCAAGGAAACAGCAGCAGCGCATGAAGCCAGGCGTGGGAACTTCCCTTCGCGGTGAGGGGCTCTGCTGAGCGTCAGGCTCTGTACCACTGCACAGCTGGTGTCTCCACGA